ACTTAAAGTGTTTGAGTAGGGCGTCATCCCCCCCCCCTAAACTATTGGCTTAAGTAACTGTAACGGTTAAGATAATTTTGTCAGTTTAAGAGTAATAGTCGTTCAACTTTGGTTAAAGAAAATGTCTTGCCCATTGAAAATTCCTTAGTATGAGTCGGACTAGCGTTACGTTTTTATAAAAAGTATATAAGCACTTCAAAAGATCGGTGGTTATACCGTATCATGATCGCTTCAGATGAAGCTTTTAGTCAGTAAGAGTCTGACATAACCTTGCAGCCGGCTGTAGTGTATCCATAAGGATTTCACACCCCCTCCACAATTTCAGCGATTTTCATACAAGTTTGTCTTAAAATAGACGACACTATCTTTTCCGGACCGGTCAGTAATATATGGAAAAAACTATTTAAAATAATTATGGTCAAATTAGATTGTTAGGGTTGAGGCATACACGCACCTTTATGGACAATAAACATGGTGTGTTTGCGATATTGTTGTTATTTTTAATATTTATTATAAATAAACATTATTGAACATTCCTAAAATTATGATTCAATTTCGGCAAAATAAGGAGCTGGCAGGGTAATTCACAATAATACTTCTGTAGATAGATTTCAATAAAACATAGTTTACAGTTTTGAAGAGATTTAATATTGCAGTCTGTTAACGTTAAAATATTTAAAAAAATGTTTAATATAAAAATAACACATTGTGTGAACAGAGGAGGAGGAGGATGATCTCAGGCACTTGAAATACGAAAGAACTTGTTTACTTTAAAAGTCAAAACCTAAGGTCAAACTACATAGTTATACACATTACATTTAACAAAGCGCTTCATAAAAAAACAAAGTCAGCCTTGTTTTGAAATAAATTATGGTGAACGTTTTAAGCAATTGAATGACAATCCTTTTTAAGGTTGCGCGTCAATAATACAAGGAAGCCTCCACGTTCCGCTCTGACCGTCCGTTTGTCCGCAGCTTAGTGAAAAGACTAGAAAGCTTTAATTATGTAATACGTAATAAGTATTACCTAGTCACATATGGGGGGTAAGGGAGTGAAACGTTCCATCTCATCGCCCCAACTGTCAACCTCATCAGCAGGTGATCCACGAGCACGTGCTGAATGCTCCGACCCACTCGCGCACATATCCAAAACCCTGAAAGTTTCCAACTCGAACTACAGAATCGTTTCGTTTGTTTAGAAGATTGCGTTTCTGTGGACGATTTAAACAACAGGTTGGTGGAAACTGTCCACGAGGTGGGGTCCAAATTCTGTAACACCCACAGAACTAAAGAACACAAAAGGTTCTCTGACTACACTTTCGGGCTCACGAAAGAGGGCAAAAATATGAGACTACAGTCTTTAGCGGATGCGGCAACCTACCGGCAAATTAATAGGCAGATCTCCAAGTCACAGTCACGTGACCTTAGGTTCTTTAATACCGAAAAGATTAAAAATATTATAATAAACAACAAAGGTACGATAGTGTTTGCGAGATATCTGTCTATCGGACAGCGCCAGCGGACGCGGCTGAAGACCGAAAACGATAGTCTTATCTAATAGAAGCCTGAGGTTTTGATGGAGGTCGCGAAATTTTTGGACAGTGGTACACTCAACACAAAAACCCGTTGATGATTATGCTAAAGATCCCAGAGCCAAATTAACCCGCTTCTATACCGAAGATATCCCGGCCGTTAGCCTATACGAGATTTGTGACGCTCACAGAACTAAAGAATAGCAAGGGGCCAGGGGATGAACGGAATCACAGCAGAACTCCTGAAAGCAGGCGGAAAACCGGTAGGAAAAATCTTTCAGCGATTGTTCAATTCCGTCATTCACGAAGATGAGTCAGTCGTCATTATGCCAGAGGCATGGCATAGGAGCATGGTCCCACTTTTCTTCAATAAAGGTGACAACACGCTTTTGAAGAATTAGGCATCTCGCTGCTGAGCCACGTCTACAAATTGTTTTCGAGAGTGATTACGAATTGTCTCGTTGATAGATTTTTCTTTTTTAGAAAGGTTTAAAATTTTGCACGAAAGCCAAAATGGCTTTAGGAAAAATCACTCCACTATCCTAGCAGTTTATAAATTTATAAAAGATGTCTACCAACAAATAAATAATAGGAAGTACGCGGTGGGCCTTCTTCTCGACATGAGCAAGGCCTACGACAGGGTCAGTTATAGAACTCTTCTGGATATATTATATGGAATCGGGATTAGGGGATTGCCTCATGAATGGTTCAAATCTTATCTTGAAAATCGTTACCAATACGTGGAAATTGAAAATACTGATTTTGAGACAGGTAAAATTACACATACTAAATCTGATTTAATTCATGTAACTGGTTCAATTCCGCAGGGTAGCGTTTTGGGTGTAGTTTTTTTCTTGCCTATATTAATAATCTACCCAATGTACTGGAGGAGATGTGTGTGCTGTTTGCTGATGATATATCTATCTCAATATCTTGCTCAAGTGCTTCATAATTACAATCTAAACTAGACTCTACCCTTAATAAAATAACGAATTGGCTAGAATCACACAATTTGCAACTCAATCTTAGCAAAACTAAGCTCATTCAATTCGGACCCTACCAAAAAGTGCTACTAGACATATCGTACAGTTATAGATTTGTGGTGGAAAGATTGATGTTGTCAATACTGCTACTTTGCTGGGTATAGAGTTGGATGCACACTTAAACTGGAAATGCCACATACAAAGGCTGTTAAATAAGATGTCATCTTTTGTTTATGCACTTCAACATTTAAAACGTGTGACTGATTTTAGATCCGCTCTTACTGCTTACTATGCATATGCTCATTCAATACTATCATATGGTATAATTTTGTGGGGAAGCTCATATGACGTAGACAAATTATTTATAATGCAAAAGAAATGCATACGAATTTTGACAAACATCGATCAGATGGAATCATGTAGACCTTATTTTATTAAACATAGAATTTTGACCCTTGCATCCATACTCATCCTTGAATCATGTAAATTTGTAAGAAAACATCCAGAATTTTATTCACCAATAGTAAGTGTTAAAAGAAATAATAGGTATTTAAATAAATTAGAAGTGCCATACAGCAAATTAAGATTGGTTTCGGATAGTCCTCATGCTATGACAATAAAAATCTATAATAATGTACCTAAGAATATAAAGAACGTAGAAATATCAGCCAAATTCAACAATCAATTAAAATCATATTTAATCCAAAAATTTTTTATAATTTAAAATTTTTTGACGACAAATGTAATTAATTTTTAAAGTTGACATTTTCATTATTATTATTATTGCTTATTGACATTGTTAAATCTAGTTTATAAAATTGAATTGTTTGTTGTGTAAAAATGAAATATGAACTAAGTATTATAATATAATTATTTAACAAGCCCTCTGGCTTGATATTTGCTATGCCCTTGCAGGGCGTCACATATATTAATGTACCACCATGAATGTTATGTGACATGCAATAAATGAATAAATAAATAGATTAGACGACTTCCAGCCTCACGAACAAGCCGAATTCCGGATAGGCTTTAGCACCATGGATCTTTTCCACATGCTTTACAAAAATCGAAGAATATAACCTGCCACTACGCTTGGCGTTTGTGGACTATAAGAAAGCATTTGATTCGTTGGAAACATGGGCTGTGTTGAGATCCTTACAGAGATGCCGTATCGACTATCACTATATCCAAGTGCTGACGAGACCTATCCAACTGCAGCGAGAAGTGTGACAGGGAGATGTACTCTCGCCAAAACTGTTGACCGCTACGTTGGAAGACGTCTTTAAGCTTTTTCATCAACGGATTTTTCATCAACGTCAACGGAGAGTACATTACTCACCTTCGATTTGCCGATGATATAGTTGTTATGGCACTTTGGAGGATCTCAATACAATGTTCAACGACCTTAAAATAAATATGAGTAAGAAAAAAATTATGATTAACGCTCGTGTTCCGCTCCACTCAGCAAAGTTGAGCAGTCGAAATTCATTTTCGAGATTGAGGTTAACCGCCGAATCCAACTCGGCTGTGCAGCGTTTGGAAAACTACGCGATGTCTGCTCGTCCGAAATACCTTAGTGCCTGAAGACCTAGGTCTTCGAACAGTGCGTATTGCCAGTGGTAATATATGGAGCTGAGACGTGGTCGTTTACTATGGGCTTCATAAGAAGGCTCCAAATCGCACAGCGAGCGATGGAGAGAGCTATGCTCGGTGTTTATCTACGTGATCGAATCAGAAATGAGGAAATCCGTAGAAGAACTAGAACAATCGACATAGTTTAACGGATCGCCAAGCTGAAGTAGCAACGAGCGGGGCACATAGCTGGCTGTAGCGGCGAACCGGTGGACGTTGAGGTCCCAAGGTGCTTCAATGGCGACCTCCCACCGGGAAGCGCAGTGTAGATGTCGGGGTGACCCACTGGATGCGGAGAGCGCCGGATCGTTCCATATGGAAATCCCTTGAGTAGGCCTATGTCCAGCAGTGGACGTCTATCGGCTGATGATGATGATGAGTCATAATATATAATATTGGTTACGTAGAGCAACCACAGAGCGCTTAGTGATGCTTACTGTCTGTCTTTTTTCTTGTTTCTGAATATAATCTGTTAATTAATTTACATTTACAGGTAATTAAATACCTGAGTTACCTCCCTTTTTTTGTTTCATTTGTGTATTAAGAGGATACATACCCAGATGAGCGCTCTGATTTGATTGGTTAATCCCCTGTGCTCTACCAGAACTGCTATTCTGTAAGAAAAAAAACAGCGAAATTCACCGGTGTGATTTGAAATTCGTGTTCTAATGTTAAATCACACCGCGGTTTCAGAGGTGAAAACTTAGTTAGTTCTTACAGAAGCACAGTAAATCTTATCTACTTACTTAAGAATATCCATTCGAAAGCTTTGTTGGTTTTCATTAGGAGATAGAGCAATACCGTACTTTTCAGGTTGCGAGCATTTTGTGATTTCTTCTTATTGCTATTTACAGTTGAAATTTTTGGACTTACTCGGAAGGCAGCCAACAAGTGGAAGATTATTTACAGATTCTGGGCTTTCAATTTGGGCGCAGTTAATGTTTTTACTCCAGAACATGTAGAGGTAAAAAAAGGTGTTATTATTGCTGTTTTGTATTTTATTTTTATTTATTTATTTAGGTCCGCCAACGGTTGCTACATAGAAATTATTTTATTTTAAGCCTAAAACTGCTAGATTTATAAAACTAAAGTTTCAAGAAATTCAAGAAAAAAAATCCACACGGTCCAGGAATCAGACAAGATTCGAACCCCCGCTAGCTATCCTTTATCCGGGCGGAATATTATTTCTTCTTTATCAATTGTTTAATACTTGTAAAAGTATCTCTTTCGACGAAACCGCTTATACCCAATATGTACTGTATAAAAAAATAAATAAATATGAACTTAGAAATAAGGGAAAACCATTTACTCGGATAAGGAAACTTGTTACTTTGAATCCAGTCTTGTGACTGCCACAAGTAGGTTTTTTAAAGTTATTTGATATTCTATTGATTGAAGATAAGCTACATCACAGGCATTATTCAAAGTCTTTGATATTTCTCTTGAACCCCCTTGCAAATTATATGCGTGTGGTACGATGAGATCTACGTCTGTATCCCAGCCCCTCTAGCATGACCACCGAAACGGGATATGATAAAGCGATATATCGACATTAACTGTCAGACTACTATCAAACTCCATAGTAGTCTGACAGTTAATGTCGATATATCGCTTTATCATATCCCGTTTCTGGGGTCATGCTAGAGGGGCTGTAGCACAAGTGACTTCATAGCTTTTGACAGAACTGTGTACCAAATTTTCATAAAGGATGATTGATATAAAATAATGTTGTACTCCTCTGAAATTTCATTTATCATAAGGCATAAACCTACCTATTTTGCAGAAGATAATTTCAACGTCGAAATTTAATAGCAAAAGTATATTATACAGTTTTATGCGTCCATGGTTACAAGACGGATTACTCCTTAGTGACGGTAAGTGGAAGGCTAAGAACTCGTGCGATTTATTCCCGCGCCCGACGCGGCAACGGGATAGCTATTTTATTTCAAAACTCATGAGACCGCAGCCGCCGCGTATGCCTGCAGACTTTAAATTCCGTCCTGCGCTAGTCCGCAGCGGGTACCGCAATCACCCGCGCGCTCTGCGGCCGCAAATCGCGCCCTGATTTTTGCTTTTGCATTTACTTACAATTTGATATTGTACGCGAATTGCGGTTCCGCAGCTGCGGCGTGGGCGGGAGAAATCGCGCAGTTAGTTCTCAGCTAAATGCTCCTGTGAAATGTTCTCATTTCTACAAATCTCGATTTTTTTCGATGGGAGTTTTAGTTTTCCCTAAAATCGCGATGAACCGTTTTCCCCACTAAAAAGGTCCTCAACCGTCCTTTTTTCATGCGTTCTTTTTCTTTTGAAAAGAGTTTATTTTGTTTTTTTTTTTTCATTTTTACTTTGTTCTTTATTTTGTTTATTTTTTACTTGAAAATGGTATCAAATTCATTAACACGCCGCCGCTAATAACACTATTATTTTGTATTATGAACATGTAGTTACAGTTATGATCGTCTAATAGAGAAAGTAACAGAAATTAACCATAATTATAACAGAATATGATATCGGGTAAAATGGATATAAATCAAAAATAGTATTTATCGTATTATAAATACTTAAATAGTATAGAAAAAAGTACTTTTACAATTTTATTGCTACGAAAATCCGTGTTTTTGATTTTCTTGAAAGGAGCGAAATGGCAACAACGCAGAAAAATCTTAACACCAACGTTCCACTTCAACATTCTTCAAAGGTTCTGCGTGATTATAGAGGAAAACAGTCGGCGGATGGTGGAAATGTTGAACAACTCCGCGGGAGAGAAGGTCGACGTCGTGCCTCTTATGTCAGAGTTCACTCTCAACTCTATTTGTGGTAAGTATGTCGCAGTAGTATAATTTAAACGCCAATCGTATTTATAACGTTATATTCTTATTTGACTATAAAAATAGGTCATAGAGAAAGTAATCACTCTGTTTTACAAAAGGCAAAGATGATAATATGATATATTAAGTGTATTAAGCGCCCGGGGTATCGGCCTGTTGCAATTGCTTGCAATGTAAGCGTGCGTGTTCAAACAAGAGTGACCATAAGGGCTGGCCGCGGCCGCAATATGCGCCTGTCTTTGAGACACTTAAAACAGGATTAAGCAGAGTGTTGGTGCAGGTGGCCCTTAAAGTCGTTATAAAATAAGGGTTGTAGTAGGTCGTTTCATGTGTTAGGCAAAGAAAGTAAAGAAAATAGAGTTAGACTGTCTTCAGATAACCCACGCGAACCACACAGGACCATACACGCGTTCTTTTCTTCTACTAAGCATACCCTCTACACCAACCAAAGCACGACATGAGGTAAGGGCGCTTGGTTGGACTTCGATAAACAGAATTTGAGATTTATTACGTGTCGTAAGACTTATGCAACAATTACAAAGCTGCTTACTCATAGCTTACTAGTGTCGTCTAAACAAGGCTTGAAAATAAGCCTTCAGGGAAGCACGAGATTGTCTTTCAGAGCCCTTTGATTGACGCACTCATTAAACGTAGGCTCTACACCGGCGTCGGTGCATCAAAAAAAAATAACATTAAGATTCTCTTGCACTTACTGTATATTGTAGTATGAACTCTTTTTACAATTCTGGCGGATCTCTCCTACTTTTGGGTGCGGGTTCGGGTAGGTAGGTATATCAAATGAATGTCAGATTGATTGCATTTTTTGTATTATTATTTTTATAATGTGGGTTCTGGGTGATAACATCCCAGGGGCATTGCTCTATGCTACCCACCGCTTAACAGGTTGCCGATAGCGATACGGTCCCCAAATTTGGAGGCTAGCTGCTGAGACAGTCGCGGACAATGAGGCGGTTTATCTTGAGGGGTGCTCGGAAGGCTCATGGCTGAGCCTCCCCTATGAAGTTTCACTAAACCTGTTGACGAAGAACGACAGTGGCGAGCATGATCCGCCACTTAAATTAAAGCTCGGACCCGGGAAGATCAATCCCGTTTGCCTTGGGTAGCTATTGATCTAGGAGAAGGTACACCGAACAATAAACCAAACGAGCTGACTTGTACGTAGGTGTCAGTGCACCAAAGGCTAGGCTTGCATGCCTGACAAATATGCCGAAAACAAAATGGAAGTAGGATTTGAAAACAAATTACCTTCCTGGGGAAGGTACCAGTAACGCTGGAGAATCCTTCTCTGAGAAAAGCCCACAGAAAAACTCAGACAACCTCATCGTATCTGGGCCAAAATTTTGCTTAAAGGTGATAAAAAAGCTGTAAATAAGACTGGAAATAATAAATTAGTGTAGCAAGATTTTCATCCGAGCTTATTTTAACAAGGCTTATTTTATCCCGGCTACGTGCTTGAAGAGTCCTTCAAAGCGAAAGCCGGTGTATGCCTGTATGTTCGGGCGGATGTTTGTTGTCGCCGTCTCCGCTGCTTGGAAGATCCCTCCTTCTCCATGTTGGGGGTACACGTCGATTCTGGTCCCCAGGCCAGAGTCTACGTGTGCCTCTACAGATCCCACACTGGCGATGTTGAGACAACTCGACTTTTCGAACATCTTAGTCGGGCAGCAGATGACGCGCAGGAGCAATTTCCCAATGCAGAATTGGTGTTTTTGGGGGACTTTAATGCTCACCACAATTTGTGGTTAAGTTCCTCGAAAACTGACCATGCAGGGATCTCTGCTCACGCGTTCGCTCTCACGCAGGACTTGAAGCAACTGGTCGATCAGCCCACCAGGATTCCAGATATCTCAAGTCAAGCGCCTTCATTACTGGACCTTCTGCTCACGACTCATCCACAGGGCTATCAGGTTGTGGTAGGAGCCCCCCTGGGCTCTTCAGATCACTGCCTGATATCTGCCAAAGCGCCACAGGCGAAGCCTCCGCGTCCAACGGTGGTAAAACGCCGGATTTGGCATTATGGGTCGGCAGATTGGGACGGTATGCGTGACTACTTTGCGTCCGTCCCTTGGAAGCAGCGCTGCTTCAGTGACAAGGACCTATCGGCTAGCGCCGTTGCTATTACTGAGGAGATTGTAATGGGTATGGAATACTATATTCCTCATTCCAATCTCATCAGTAAGGGCACACGTAACCTCTGGTTCAATCACGACTGTGCTGAAGCTGCTTCGCGTAAGCAAGCGGCACATCGTGCTTGGATCAGAGGCCGCGCTCTTAAGGATCCCGGGGTCGATTCACTAAAGGCAGCCTACAATATTGCTTCCAAGGCCTGTAAGAAGGCTTACATCAGAGCGGATGCCCAGCGCGTAGCACGTGTTGGTCACGAACTTATAACGCATCCTACGGGCTCCCGTAGCTATTGGCGTTTGGCCAAGGCCGTGCAAAAGAACTTCTGCCAGCCCTCGCTGCCACCTCTGAGATGCCCAGACGGAACACTAGCTCATAAGCCGCAGGAGAAAGCCGATTTACTGGCAAAACTCTTTGCGGCTAACTCCCGAATCGATGATTGCAATGCACCATTACCTCATTGTGGCACAACGATGCCGGATATCAAAATCAGGCAGCGTGAGGTTCGTGCCGAATTGCAATCACTCGACGTCCGGAAAGCTAGTGGACCCGATGGCATCCCAGCAGTAGTACTGAAAAAATGTGCAGCGGAGTTGTCTCCCGTGCTCACGCGTTTATACCAGTGCTCGTATTTTTTGGGGCGTGTGCCGGAAACTTGGAGAGATGCTAACGTGCAACCGGTACCCAAAAAAGGGGATCGCTCAGACCCGGCTAACTACCGGCCAATAGCAGTCACCTCAGTATTATGTAAAGTCCTAGAAAAGGTCCTTAACAACCATCTGACCCGCTACCTAGAGGATCTCTCCCTGATCAATGATCGTCAATATGGTTTTAGACCGAAACGATCGACGGGTGATCTTCTAACGTACTTGACTCATATCTGAGGTGAGGCTATCGACAAGCGAGGCGAGTCGTAGTCTTGACATTGCCAAGGCATTCGACAGGGTCTGGCACAAAAGTCTTCTCTCCAAGCTTCCGGCATACGGTCTGCCGGCCCAGTTCTGTTCTTGGGTAGCTGACTTCCTGCATGAGCGTAGAATTCGTGTCCTTACGGATGGTAGCAGTTCGCGGTTCATGTCAGTGAATGCCGGCGTTCCCCAGGGCTCCGTCCTATCCCCCACTCTCTTTCTGCTGCATATCAATGACTTAATTCCTCTTGGGAATATTCATTGCTATGCAGACGATAGTACAGTGCATGCGGGGTATCTCGGACAAGCAGCGGCTGGGCAGGCGGTAACCAAGGAGAAACGGGAGAATCTTGTCATTGAGCTCAATCGGGCTTTGGACCACATTTCTGTATGGGGTACCAAGAACTTGGTTGAGTTTAATGCTAAGAAAACCCAGGTCTGTGCTTTCACGGCAAAAACGTCGCCATTCCTTTTATGTCCTTCTCTTCAGGGCACACCACTGGAGCTAGAGAGCAGTATCACCATGCTCGGTATGGAGATTCGCTGTGACTTAAATCCAAAGAATTACACTGAAAGTGTGATAAAAACTGCCTCACGCAAACTCGGAGTCCTGAACAAGGTGCGGCGTTTCTTCACGCCCGAACAACTGTGCTTGTTATATAAGACGCAGGTGCGGTCTTGCGTGGAATATTGCTCGCACCTCTGGGATGGCTCCGCTAAGTACTTGCTCGATGCTTTGGATAGGTTGGGGTTATTGGGGGATAAAGCCGAGCGCGTCCGTGGGCTTTAGCTCTAGATACCCACACGTGTCCCCTGGGTAGCGCCAAATGCTCGGCACATCACCGGTGGTAGGTTTCGACCGTGGCTGGTAACCACCCTCTAGGCAAAGCCGAGCCGCCAAACGACTTTCATCGTGTTTCGGCTCGATGCCTGGTGTTGCCGTTTTTAGGGGGGGAGTCCGAGCAGTTGCGATGTACAGCTTGCCGGCTTCGGTGTTGCGTGATTGCTGCGCTGGGTGGCTGATCGCGGAGGGTAGCGGGATCCTAAGCACGGTTCTCCGCTGGCCGACCGCAGGTAGTAGGGGGCCCAAGTAGTAGGAAAGCCACCTACGAAAGGCTGCCCCGCCAACTCGCGAAAAATCCCAAGGTGCGCCATCGTGCCGGTTGGCGACCGGATGCGAGGGCCCGATGGACACTTTTGGGGGGGTTAGGGCGTCCCCGCGCGCTCCAGCTCAGTCACCCATCAGTGTGGAGTCATAACTGCATCGCTTGGCAGTAGCTTAGCAGAGTCTCGCTCATCTGTCCCCTTCCTGCCTGTTCACTCTCTACTTATGAAAAAAAAAAAATATATGAAAGTCAAAAGAAAGAAACTGGTGAAACAGCGGATGCACTCCCTCGCACTAAAAGTGCACCTTGCTAACGTCCGAGGATTGCACTCAAATATCGATAGTGTCCATCACCACCTTGAGACCGATAAACCACATCTGCTGTTCCTCACGGAGACTCAAATAAGATGCCCGACTGACGCAGCTTACTTGCATTACCCAGGTTACATCCTGGAGCACAATTTTAAATCGCGCGCTGGCACCTGCGTGTATGCTCGTGATGACATCTGCTGCCAACGTCTCCGCAACCTTGAGAATCCCAGTTTCTCTACATTATGGGTGCTGGTGAACACAGGTATAGAGCAAATACTCTATGCCAGTGTTTATCGGTCGCACACAGAGAACATAGAGACAACCAGGTTTTTTCAGTACCTCAGCGCCTCCGCTGAAACAGCCCAGCAAAGGTACCCGAGTGCGCAGCTAGTCGTTCTGGGGGACTTTAACGCACACCACCATGAGTGGTTGTTCCCGTTCCAGAAAACCGACCATGCCGGGAGATTAGCGCACACATTTGCTATGTCGCTAGGTCTCTCCCAGCTTGTGAAGGGCGCT